GATTTTCTTTTTTTTTTTTTTTCCTTTTTACAATGGCAAACAAGGATGCTCACAGGGGATCTGCCTCGGCGAGCTGGATCACAGCATCACAGAAAGGTTGGGATTGGAAGGGACCTTAACGATCATCTAGTTCCACCCCCCCTGCAGTGAGCAGAGACACCTCCCACTAGACCAGGTTGCTCAAAGCCCTTTTTTCACCCTTTTTTTCTGCTTGCAGAAGCCTTCCCGGGGGGACATTTCCCTTCCCAGGGGGACATTTCTCTGCCCTAGGGACCAAAGTGGTGCCAGAAGGTTCTTCTGGAGGGGGAGACTCCAGTCTCTGCTGGGCAGGTCAATGGGTGGCACCTCATGGGTTCAAGGGACAGGCAGGGGATGGGGAAGCTGCTGTGTTATTGCATGGTCTCGGTGTGAGATTTGCATGTCTATGAGTGACCTGAAACACCCAGTTCTTTTTAATGCCTTCCTATTGCTGTGTAGTGAGTTGGGGCTCAGCCTTGTCCCCGTGCGGAAACACAGAACCACTCGTGGCCAGCACTAAGTGAAATAATGCACCAGAAAGGAGCCGAGCTGGATGAGACCTTCTTATTTTGTGAGGAAACACAGTTGGTATTTGGTTGGTCTAGAAGCAGCAAGGTGGGATTACTTGGCTGTGACTTCAGGGTGCACATCTAGCCCAGCAGCTCTCTGCTTTTAGTTATCCTGGCTATAACACACCTCGATTCTCACCTCAGTTGTGAGCCCAGTGGAAGCCTGTTCCGTTTTCCATTTGTTTATTTATTTATCATCTCAGTTTTTCAGCCTCTGCGAGGCTTGGTACAGGTATAGAGCTTCAGAAACATGCACAGAACAGAATAACAGATTACTGTGATTTGGTTACAAGGCAATAATTTCAGCTGACAGGTTTAGCTGATAACATAAAACTCAAGAGAGAAACAGCATCAGTTCAGAAATGTCAGCAGAACCCGTGCGAGCGAGTCGCTGCCTTGAAGCTGACTCTGGTGCTGTTACTCCCTCTAATATATTATAAGAAGAAATAAACAGATGTCTGAAAAAAAAAAATCTGCTGGACTAAGATTAAAAGAATAGGGCTATAAATTAAATTCTCCCTTGGTGCCACTTGAAGCAGCTTTTGGGACAGATGGAACACGTCCAAAGCAAATGAATTCAGTGAGGAGGAGCTCCAGGAAGCACAGGGGTCCAGGTTTGTCTGGGGAGTTCTGGAAGTCAAAGAGGTCGTGCTCCAGCTTCTGCAGCTGATAAAGGGATGACATGGAGAAGAGGAATAATAAGGGGGTTTTATCTTGTGGAAGTATTTTACCTCTTGGATACGATCTTTTTGGTTGCGAGGCAAAGGGCTGATTGATTGATGGGTGGGTGAGTGGGTGGCACGTCCCCGACAGGGACACTGGGTGGTCTACCAGGCCAGTAGATCCATCAACTAAGCCGATGCAATAACGTGTATTCAAATCATTTTAGTGGTGGTTTAAAAAAATACCAAGTGTGGGGTATTTTTTAAGTAGTAAAGAGTACAAGCTGGCCGTGGGGGAAGGAGCTTGCCAGCTTCCTCCTCCAACACTTAGAGCCACTTCCGCAGGTTTGTGGCGGGGTTTATACAGCTATTTCTACTCACTGGGTAGTTGATTTGGAGGTGGGAGAGGAACTAGAATGGAAACTCTTCTTTCCCTTCAGAAGGAGTGAGGGAGTAGGACAGGATGGGAGTTAGCAGCTGTAGGTTTTGGGGATCTCTGGGAAGTGACACCATTCAGCTCCATTAAGACACAAACAATCTGTACCTGTTTGGACATCTTTTAGGTTTTTTTAAGGTGTCAAGGAGAAAAAAAGGTCAGAAAATTGCTTAAATATAAACTTGGGTTTGTATTTTTTGAGTTTTATTGAAAATTAATTTATCTAGGCAAAAAATCTATGAGGAGTGTTAGCAGCACATGAAGCTGTCCGTGCTTACATAGGTATGGCTCTGGTGTGTGCTCCCAGTTGCTGAATACTATCAAATTATAGAAATCAAAGAGAATCAAGTATTTTGAAGAGAAGTGTCTCGAAGCTGCATACTGAAACATGACTAAAGTTGAGGATTTCCAGCTTGCTCATTTAAATCAGCAATTGTAATCACATTACTCAAGTCAACCCACCCCCCAACCCGCTTTATGAAGAATACTTCAAGATACCCAAAACTAAACAAGACTGAAGACCTCATCCCATCTCAAACATCTGGAATATTTTTAGGTGACTGGGCCAATCTTTTTTTGCTGAAAACAGAGATGTTTGTCTTGATTTTTTAATAAGGCAGCATCTTTGTCCTGCTGTGGCATGAACCTGCACTGCTGTGCTCAGCGGTGAGAAATCCCTGTAGCAACAAAAGCCTCTTAAAGACATCAAGGCTGAGATTTCTGGGCTGGGGTTTGGATGGTCTCAGTAAAATCTCCTTTAGGGAGGTGTGAAGGAGCAGGAACAGGAAAGGTTTGTGTCTTTCCCCATGGCAACCTCCTTAATTTGGTTGCTCTGTGTGTGTGAGCTCAGGCATGCCATGTGTTCTGCACACAGTGCCATTTTAAAATTGATTTATTTTTTCCCCTGCTGGCAGACCCCATGTCTCCTGAAACAGGGAGAGACGTGGTGTTGTCTTTTTTGTGGAGATCCCACAAAACCCTTTTTGACTGATGTGTCCTGCCTGTGTTGCCTGCCATGAGGATAGCTCAGCTGTGGCCGCGAGCTCCTCAAAGCTCACCTTTCCCAATTGGGATGGTGCTCTGCTAGAGACACACATGGAGTAAAGCTTATTCCTTCTTCCAACACATCTTCCTAGGGACAGGATATCATAGAATGGTTTGGGTAGGAAGGGACTTTTAAAGGTCATCTTGTCCCTGTTCCGTGCATAGGGGTTGGACATCTGCAACTAGAGCAGGTTGCTCCGAGCTCCATCCAACCTCACCTGGAATGCTCCCAGGGATGGGGCAGCGACCACCTCTGGGCAACCTGGGACAGTGGCTCACCACCCTCAACAGAGAATATTTCTTCCTTCTGTCTAGTCTGAACCTCCCACTTTCAGTTTAGACCCATCATCCCTTGTCCTATTGCAACAGTCTCTGGTGAAAGTTCCATCCCCATCTTTCTTCTTGGACCCTTGAAGTCCTGGCAGGCCCCCAGGAGGTCTCCCCAGCTGGAGCCTTCTCCTCTGCAGCTGCCCCTTTTTTTTTTGATGAGAGCTCAGCTGTGGCCGTGAGCTCCTCAAAGCTCACCTTTCCCAATTGGGATGGTGCTCTGCTAGAGACACACATGGAGTAAAGCTTATTCCTTCTTCCAACACATCTTCCTAGGGACAGGATATCATAGAATGGTTTGGGTAGGAAGGGACTTTTAAAGGTCATCTTGTCCCTGTTCCGTGCATAGGGGTTGGACATCTGCAACTAGAGCAGGTTGCTCCGAGCTCCATCCAACCTCACCTGGAATGCTCCCAGGGATGGGGCAGCGACCACCTCTGGGCAACCTGGGACAGTGGCTCACCACCCTCAACAGAGAATATTTCTTCCTTCTGTCTAGTCTGAACCTCCCACTTTCAGTTTAGACCCATCATCCCTTGTCCTATTGCAACAGTCTCTGGTGAAAGTTCCATCCCCATCTTTCTTCTTGGACCCTTGAAGTCCTGGCAGGCCCCCAGGAGGTCTCCCCAGCTGGAGCCTTCTCCTCTGCAGCTGCCCCAGCCCAACTCTCTCCTGCTGGGCTCCCAGCAGAGGGGTTCCCCCCTCGGGTCATTGCTGGGGCTCCTCTGTCCCCACTCCAGCAGGTCCCTGTCTCTGCTGTGCTGGGGACTCCAGAGCTGGACACAGTATGGTGGAGAGAAAGACAAGCTATCAGAAATGCACCCTGTTGTAAGAGCAAGTCCTCCAAAATGTATTTTCCTTGGTTTTTTAAATGCATTTATACCTGCTGGATGGCTTTAGGCTTTGAAATGTTTTTTATATGAATTGTGACAAACATCCCAGCCTTATGTAGAAAGCACCAAGTCCTTTGATCAGTGAAATGTCGCTTTGGTCTTGAAGAGGGTGGGATCAATCTGGTCGTTCCCTAGACTAGAAGATTTTGTCTTTAAGAACATGTATTCATTGTATGAAGTAATGATCCTTGTCTTCGCTCCCCTTTGGTAGCAGATGTTACCTGTCTCCTGCATGCTGTATGATTTTCATCTAGGCATCTTCTTAGGTAAAAAGAAGCAGATTAAAGATAAGGCTGAACAGGGAGACCTCCCTGAGAGAGGGGGACATGAGCTGCTGTGTCTCTGCTTGCGTGTCCAGCCCCGTGCACCTAAGCTCTCCATGCTCCTCCAACTGCCACCCCACTCTCCTAAGCAGGCAGATCTATAGAAGATGAAGGCAGATCAAGACAAAGCAACCAGATATTGCCACCCCTCCATCCCAGTGCCATGGCTGGCTGCTGTGACTCGTTTGGGGTGAATTATGTCCATGGAAAACCAGGCTGCATTTCCCATCTTTTCTGCATTTATAAACCAAAGCTTAATGTATTCCTTGTGTTTTTGTTGGTGGATAGTAGTGATCATATATTCCTTTTAATACAGCGTTTCCAAACCCACACAGCGTCGTCTCGGTGCACTTGGTATTCGGCTGTACTCAGACGTGGGCTTTGATTTCACCTTGGCTGCTCGATTTTATGCTCCCTACCCCAACCGACAACCAGTTCCCCTCTCTTCAAGTAGCCTCCAAATCCACCCCTGACACGGAGCTTTCGTGCTCTCTTAGGAACTGGCCTGGGAGGGAGCAGGGGCTGAGCTCGGGGTCCCGTGTGGCACTGGGATGCATTTGATGGCTCACGGTGGCATCGCTGTGAGGTCAAAAGGGCATCCCTGGAGGGGAGAGTGGCCCATGGCCACTGTTCACCGGGTGGCACAAGGGGTGTGCGCCTTCAGCTCACCCTTCCTGCCCAAAGCTGGGGTGACACGTGCTCTGCAACAGTCCAACCTTTGTTTGTAGGTCAGGCTGTTCCGGCAGGGTCACATGTGCGACTGAACCTACAGACAGGAGAGAGAGAAGCCAAGCTCCCAGACAGCGGGAGTGGGAAGAGTGAGGCGAGAGAAGAGAGAAGAAGAAAAAGGTAGAGTGATGCAGAGCACTTTGGGGGGGTGGGGAGGGGCTGTGGCAATCCTGGCTTTCACAAGAGCCCAGGTTCCCTGGTGCACTCAGCTGCTGCCTCTTCCCGAGGCTGAACTGCTGCTTTAGGGGTTCAGGAGTGAGAACTGAGCCCCACGCTTTGCAGTCCCTCCGGGATGCTGATAGAAGCCCCAGGAGTATGTCTGCATGGGCACCTTGATGGCTTTCCATGCCACTACACCAGAACTAGATGTGCAGCGTGGCTTTTTTCAGTGGCATTTACTCCTTGGAAACATCTGTGGCCATCAGTCTGAAGCCACTTGCAGAGGTCCAGCCTTCAGAGCAGTTGAGGGGCTCTTTGTGCTGACCCAAGCCAGATATATAACATTGGTTGTGAACTCATGGTCATTTGCACACATCAGCTACTGCCGACGTTCTCCTCGGCTCACCTGGCCTTCCCTTGCACCCACGTTCTCAAATCCGATTGAAAACTTCCACTGGTGCTGACTTTCCCCTTGGCACCCTCCTAACACAGCCAGATTTAGTTACTATGGGGAACTTGCTTTTTGGATTTCATGGGACTTCCTGTTGCTTCCCTCACTGCCCCAGTTACTCGAGAGCACGGAGAGGCCCTTGAGCTTCATGGTGCCTCAACAGCTGGCTTCCCTTTTTTCAGTGCAGGAGTGTTTGTGGCCCAGAAAAACACCCTCTGAACCAATGAGACAGAAACAAAGAGCAACACAACATGATTTTTACCATTTCTGTGTGATTTCTCCTTGGATTTAACCTTGCCCTAACTCTGGGTATCAGAACTTCAGCTGTAAATATCCTTGGTAGACCTTCCAAGCCCATAGCCATGATGTAGTGGCACAGTGGTGCTTTTTTTTTTGTTTTCCCCTGAAACTTTTCCTGCTTTTCTCTACTGCAACATGGAATTCAGAGGCATGAATTAATCAGCTCTTTTGATGTGTCAGGACTTGAGATTTTGGGTCAGCGTGCAGATTACGGAGCCTTTTTTTATTGTTAGGGTGAGCTGTCTGTAAACCACACACAAAATACAGCCCTCAGACAAAACTTTTCTTGAGTGTGGAGCCTTTTTGTGTGATGAGTGGAAATCTAGTGCTCTCATTTCCTTTCCTCCTGATGTTATCCATTGCTAGTATATCACAAAAAAAAAAATCACAGATACAATTATTCTTTCATTCCATGTTGTATTTTGTTTCCTCTTCAAGGCTGGGCAAGGTGGATGTTGACTCAAATTCATTCACATCCCAGGAGCTCAAAAAGGCATTGGCTAAAATGAAAGAGAGTGAGAAGGCAGAAAGAAAGGTAAGAAAAGAGAGTTCCTTGTTTCTAAAGCAATGTGCTTTACGTGGATGTGAACACCCTACATGATGGGTACTTCAGGATATTCTCACAGTTCAGGGTGTTTCTCTGTGAGCTCCCAGAGGGAGAGAGGCTGCAGTGGTGGAGCGGGCTGGGATCAGCAGTTCAGTGACAGATCAGCCACCAGACTTCTCTGTGTCCATTCAGGGGCTGATTTCCTTTCCATTGTTTGGGAGTATTTTTACCTGTTGCTTTGATTGCTTTGTTCAACTGCTGCTTGGTTCACACAGAAGTCTGCAGACCCCCAGAGTGGACTGGATTGCGGCGTGATGGTATTTGGAAAGGAATTTACTTTGCCAGTTGCTATCCTCCTTGATTTAGGTTTCCAGTCTCATGGTAGTGAAACCCAAATGGCTGTGGTGAAGCTTCCTTATATAAGCTAAGTGCTGCTTTCAGTCCTCACCAGTCTTGGAGGTGGTCCCCAGCCACTGGCGTGACTCTGCTGGGGTGAAATGTGACTCGTTGGATGGATCACAGCCTTTTCCCCCAGTTCCACTCGGCAGTATTTCCTTAGGCCCTGGCTCCTCTTGCTGCCTGGATGTTGGCTCAGTTGGAAGAAAACTGAGGTGGGAGTCAAGACTCTCAAAGCTTGGAGCTGCAGAAAGTCTATTTCTCCCTCTCTGGCAGCAGGGCATTATTTCTTTTTCTGTAGGATGTTGTGTAGCAGCCAGCGTTGCTGATAGCAGGACTTCTTGAAAGGAGTGTCATTTAAATGCAAAAAATGAGTGATACTCTATTATGTGAAAATAAGCCATATTTAAAAAACCCCGGTTAGAATAGCTATTGTCCCAGCAACAGGGCTAAACCCAGCTACATCTAATGGACCTAAAGTACTCCCTTTAAAATCACCCCTGCAGGGAGCAAGTCTGTCCTTGGGGTGGCTGTGTCAAAGGAAATGGAGTTACACCAGGCGCGTTCTCAGCTGCGCGCCTGCCAGAGCCACCTGCTGTGCTTGGGGTGGGCACGGCCTTCTGTGGGCTGCCTGGTGCCTCTAGTCATCAGGCCAGTAGTCATTAGCACAGGTTTGCTGGGCTGTTGTTAGACTGACAGTCCTTTCACCTCCATCCCTCCACTGGTTTTATTCTGATGGCTCCAGCCCTCAGCTTCTGTTGGCATGTGGGGAGTGGAGCGGTGCATTGTGCCTCCAAACCTTCTTCCTGGGGCTCGTTCCTGTATAAAAATGTTTGGGTATTTGTGTTCGTGGCAGAATCCCTTTCAAAAGGGGCTTTCTTGCTTTCTCCTGCTCTTGGACCTGTTGGAGTAGGTCCAGAGGAGGCCACAGCAATGATCCAAAGGGATTCGAACCGCTCTGCTGGGAGGACGGCAGGAGAAAGTTGGGGTTGTTCAGCCTGGAGAAGAGAAGGCTCCAGGGAGACCTTGTGGTGGCCTTCCAGTATCTGAAGGGGGCCTACAAGAAAGCTGGGGAGGAACTTTTTACAAGGGCTTGTAGTGATAGGATGAGGTTTAATGGCTTCAAACTAGAAGAGAGTGGAATTAGACTAAAAATTAGGAAGAAGTTCTTCACTCTGAGGCTGGTGAGACCCTGGCACAGGCTGCCCAGGGAAGCTGTGGATGCTCCATCACTGTAAGTGTTTGAGACCAGGTTGTGTGGGGCTTTGAGCAACCTGGTCTGGGGGGAGGTGTCCCTGCCTGTGGCACGGGGGTTGGAACTAGATTATCTTTAAGGTCCTGTCCAACCTTTCCATGATTCTTGGGGCAGCCCGTCTTGAGTCTGGCCTCTGCTTCTTCCATCCCCTGCAGTAGCAGGCTCTATCCCCACCTATCCCAGTGCCACCAGTGCTGATTCTGGAGAGCTGGTCTCTGCTGGCTCTGAGGCTCTCTCAGATCTCTGGCAGAGCCTTTTCCTTCTCACCACGTCTTCCCACAGCTCTCGCTTCGTCACAGCCCTTGGGGGGCTGTCTGTATGAGGAAGACAGGCCACTCTGCAGGAGAAGCTGTCTCCTGGCCAAGCCCTGTGGCACAGGACTTCTCTGCCCCCATGTCATAGCTGGTCTTCCTGCCTCGCTTTCCCACAGCTGCTGTCCCCAGCAGCGATTGCCTGCATTCCTCTGGGAGGGAGGAGGTCTCCAGCCCCACCTCCAGCTCCAAGCAGGGGCAGCTCTGAGATCAGGGAGATTGCTCAGGGCTTTCTGCAGTCATGTATTGAGAACTCAGAGGCAAACAGAGGCCAGCAGTGCTGCCTGCCTCTGGGCTTGGTATTGCCTTGGGAGGCATGTAGGACATAGAAGAGGTGTTCAAAGCCCTACGTGCGGGCTTGGGAAGTGTTTGCTGGTACCCAGGGCAGGTATCTTGCAGATAACTGGGTTCCCAGGTTTCCCAGAAGGACTCTCCAGTGCTTCCCCTGCACCTCTGATGCACAGCAGTGAATTCATTTGCATAGACAGCCAGGTTCCCCTTGTAAATCTGTGGCTGGAGTTTCTTGCCCCATCATTCTTGGCTCCCTTTATCACCTGCCTTCATATCTGGTTTTCTCCTTCTGCTTTCAAGGTCCACGAGGAAGAGGTGAGGAAGAAGTTCCGGCCCATAGAGCAGCTGAAGGAGGAGTTTGAAAAGCTGAACGTGAAGATGGAAACGGATTACGAAATTATGGTTAAATTAATCAGCAAATTCAACAGCTCTGCCTCCACGCTGGATGAAAAAGTCGCAGCGCTTTATGATCTCGAATATTATGTTCACCAGGTAACAAAAATGCTTTAGGAACTACCGTTTAAAACCCAGGGGATACGGTGCCATAAATGGGGGTTTATTTTTCTTATCGGTATCGGGTAATACAAATTGCTTAATTATCATAATCCTGGGACAATAACTGACAGCAGAGAGCTACTGCAGGCTGATTTTATATCCAAGTTGGAATAAATCATCTCTTGTGCCGGCAGCGAGCAGTTTCCTGGGGGTTAGTGTTACCTGATTAGTTGTCTGTTCTCGGGCTTCTTTTCTTTCCTTCTCGTTCTCTTCTTTTGTATACTTAACGTTATGAAAAGGGCCTTTATCTGCCTGTTTTTGCAGAAGTAGAGTGGTGGCTAAGAAAATTATTTTCTCGCTCTTTCCATGGACATCCTCTGTGGTTGCAGGGAGGTGCCTTTACCTCAGTTCACAGAGAATGTCTTCATACCAGGGAAGATGACAGGCACCCAGACACTTGTATTTTCATAGAATCATGAAGGCTGGAAAAGACCTCCAAGATTATCACATCCAGCCATGACCCAACACTCCTATGACCACTAAACTATGTCCCCAGGGGCCACATCCACAGGTTTTTCTGAACCCCTCCAGGGACGGGGAATCCACCACCTCCTTGGGCAGCCTGGGCCAATGCCTCACCACTCTGCCAGGACAGAAATTCTTCTTCAGATCCAACTGAAACCTCCCCTGGCACAGCTTATCCCCATTTCCTCTTGTCCTACTGCTAGTAACCTGGGAGAAGAGACCAACACCTACCTCACTCCAACCTCCTCCTGTCAGGAAACTGAAGAGAGCAATAAGGTCTCCCCTCAGCCTCCTCTTCTCCAGACGAAACACCCCCAGGTCCCTCAGCTGCTCCTCACAAGCCATGTTCCCCAGAGCACTCACAAGCTTGGTTGTCCTCTGGACCCGCTCCAGCCCCTCAATGTCCTTCTTACCCTGTGGTGCCCAAACCTGACCCCAGCACTCAAGCTGTGGCCTCCCCAGTGCCGAGCCCAGGGGCATGATCACTTCCCTACTCCTGCTGGCCACACTAGTTTTGGTCCAGGCCAGGATGCTGGTGGCCTTCTTGGCCACCTGAGCAGGCTACTGCTGTCCTGATGTAAGAAGTGGCGTTGGAGCCTCTTCAGGTCTTGGCTGGTGGTGACAGCAGCTGAATGGCAGGTGAATGGTGTGTTGCTGAGACGTGCCCATTGCCTCGGTCTGAGGTTGAATGTGTTCCCTGAGATCTCACTTCCTTTGGTTTATGCTCGTGAGCTTTTCCCCCTGCTGGTGATCTCTTGCTCTGCTTTCAGCTCACACGTTTCCCTCCCATTGGCTGCACGCTCTGGGCACACCACTCTGCTCCCTTGTGCTCGGTGCCCTCCCAGGCTGCAGCAGCTTGGGTGGGTGTCTGGGCATGGAGGCTGAGTCCTGCCTCGTTGGAAAGGACTGGCCTTCTCCCTCCCCAGCGACTGAAAGAGTCTGGAGCAGACTGGAAGAGCTTCCAGTGCCACTCTCGGTGACTTCATCATTTCACAGAGTGCACGGGACAACTCTTGGGAGGTGCTGGTGCAAGACCTTTCACTGGAAAGACACTTCTTCAAGCATGGCATTTTGGGGGAAGGTGGCTGAAGGAATGTGCTGCTGAGAGAGGGAGCCCAGGCAGCAGCTGACAGGAGTGTTATTTCCAGGGCTCTTTGTCTTGAATTTCCACACTAAATCTCTGCTGTACGCACGCAGAGGGTTCCTTGCTGTTTGTTCTCCAGGCTTTTGTTTCGCTGACAACATCTGTCTGACTCAGAGAATGAGTGTGAACAATGGGCACCCAAAGCGCTTCCTATTTCTACTCGGGGCTGATTCTCTCTGGTCAAGGGTGCCAGAGCATCAAGCCAGAATGCTGAAAAGCAACCTCCAAACACCCTGGGCTGCTTTGGTTTCCAGCACAGCAGCCTGGACGGATCCAGCACAGAATCCTGGGGCGCATGGTTCCAGAGAGGCGGGAGGAGCTGGGAAGTGATCCCCGCTCCCTCTGCGGGGACTGGAGCATCAAAAGGGAGCACACCCCACACCAGAGGGGTCAGTGAGGGGGACTGGCAGGGAGGCTGGCAGGCAGCACAGAGCAATCCTTTGTGCATCCATCACAATGGTGCTCTGTGCCCGCGCTCGCGGGGCAGATGGCTGGGCAGCACCTTCTTATCAGGCAGGAAGCTGATAAGAAATATGACTTGTCTCAAAGCCAGCGTGCCTTTTCCTTCTCTGTCTTCTTCCAGCCAGTCAAATGCGTCCAGAGCATTATCTCTGCTTGGGACTGACTTTAGCAGCACTGGCTTAATGTAATTACTGAACAGCAGCCAAATACGCTTGTGCCGCATAACCCCGGGAGGGCTGAACTTGTCAGGAGCCCTCTGCGATGAGCCGCAGCCCTGCTGCTGGGGGACAGGGATCCCTGGGGGGCTGGGTGGCCCAGGACAGTGCCCACCCACGTGTGGTAGCTCTGCTGCTCCCCCAGCCCCCGTCTGAATGGTGATGTGCCACAGCTTTCTGATAATCGTTCTGCTCCTGGCCCCCGGGAGGCACAGAATGCCCCACGGAGTGGCAAATGCCACCACCTCTTGGAGGGTTTGCAGGCAGAGGATGCTCCTTGCTCCCTGGCGTGGCCATGAGCGTCCCCGGGCGCTGGGCCACCAAGCAGCACATGCCCCAGTTCACTGTGAGGGACAGGAGGGAGAGATCCTCCCTCCTTTTCTTGAAGTCAGCCCAAGGGCTCCATCTTTGCTCAGCGCTCACTTTGCTAGCTCTGATTTGCTTCTCATCCATCAGGATTGAGCTGGGCGTGTTGGGGAGCCCATCCTGGAGAAGGAGCAGGAAGGTTTGGCTTGCCAGGTTATCTGTAGTGCAGAAAAAACAAATGCCAATGTGAAGGGGCCAGAGCCTAACTCACTCATTTCTAAGCAGAATTCACGGGGCTCACGCAGCCGTGCACGGAGCCAGGGCCTGCTCTCACGCCTTGCAGGCTCTTTCTCTCAATTATTTACTCTCCTTATCTGCCTCTCCCCCCCTCTGACACGCTGCACCATCCCTCACTGCTCCTTTCCTCTTTGCTGGGTTCGCTTGACATGCTGCTTTTCCTTGCCTTTGTTTTCTATCATTTTCTCTCTCGCCTTCCCTCCCTGTTCTCTTTCTCCTCCAATTCAAAGCCACTCCCGAAACAAGTGCTGTCATATCTGCTCTTCTCTCACCCCTCTCTGCACCCACCTTGCCTGGGTGCTTTGCTCAAGAGCTCTTTTGATCCTGGGCTTTCTCCTGTGCTGATTTCAGTGGACTGAAGTGAGGCGTGAGCTGCTGCTGCTCAGCATCCTCCGCTCCCCAGAGAGTGGAGAAGGTATCAGAGAGGCTGATACCTTCAAGTTGTTGAGTTTGGGGGGTTTGTCGGTTTTAAAACAGCAAGTGAGGGAAGGAGCTCTCACAACAGATTCCAGTTAGGAAAAACAAAATAAATACATCTTCAAAATAAGCTTTACAGCAAAGTTTATAATCTGCCATTGAGGTGTCTCGCCCATGGTGGGGCTGGCTTGAAGGGCTCCAGTGCTGCTGAGGTTACACTGATGATTGGTTTTAGCCAAACTTCTGCCTGTCTATGGTTCCCTCTTGAGCAGAAGCCGACATCCAATTCCAGCACTAAAACAGCCTCAGGAGTTTTTACAGAGGCTGAGCAATAAAAGCACCCACTGGTAGCCGAAATTGGGTTGTTGTATAGATTTCTTTGTAGACAAAGATGGGCCTGTAGAAAAGTCAGAGTGCTGGCAGGCCCAGTTTGCAGGGGCAGTTAAAAGAACAGGATCTGAAAGGATACAAAAGCTGCTGCAAATCCTGAATCAGCTCCAGCAGACCCGCGGAGATGGGCTTTGCAGAGGGACAGCAGGGGCTGGGTACTGTCCCTGCGGGGAGAAGAGACGAGCTGTAGCACCCCACGTCCTGCTTTGGTAAAGACATCCCCATAGGACATAAAGCTAAGGAGCTTCATCATTCTCATGGGTACCTAAAATACCCAACACGTGGCCAATTTTGGTAAAGGGACAGGGTTGAGATAAAAATAATGCTGAGCGTGAAGTCGCTGTTGACTATTTTGAGCGTCCAGGCTGGAGCATGGTGCCCGAGCCCAAGGTACCTTGCAGTGCCTGGCCTGTCCCACCCCATTGGTGGGCTCTGCTCTGTGAAGCTGAAGAGGTCACTTTGCCCAGCTGATAACTCATTTTCAAGTTCTGTGTCCATCTACCAACATGTGCTGTTGTCTCCCTGGCTTGCAGGGAGGAGAAAAGTTGAAATTCTAAACCCGAATTTTTTGCACGTGTGATTCTGAGTGTTTGGCAGATTGCCCTTGAAACTGCAAAAAAAATATCCCTCAAGACCAAAATGCATCGATTTGACTTTGGACCAAATTTTGTACATAGTCATATCACACAATCAGAATGGTTTGGGTTGGAAGAGACCTTTAAAGGTCATCTAGTGCAGCCCCCAGGCACTTAAAGCACGTGGCAGTGTTTCGGTTTGGCTGGCGAGCCACTTGCGGCCCTTTTCTGATCTCCTCTCCAAGAACAGATGTCCCCTGTGCTCTGTGCCCGGTTAGCCCCACGTCTGGTTCAAGCCAAAGGCAGATGAATCCCCACTGATGTTTAAACTTCTCCCAGCACTCATGAGAAACGGCTGCGAGCCAAGGTGGTGCTGCCCATGTACCACCGCTGCCGACAGGCTCCTAAATATTCCTAACCCCTGGTGCTACAATTAGAGCACAAATTAATTATGTTTGCAAAACATACAATTTCCTGGGCTCCCACTTGTAGGTGAGAGAGCAAAGAACTGGGTGGTTTTGGATGTGGTGGGATTTACCGAGTTATTGACATTGCCTGAATGACTGAAGTAGGAGTGAAGTTTTGATGATGATGAGGAGGAGGACCTACTCTCTCCCAGGTGGACAACGCCAAGGACTTCCTCTCCATGGGTGGGCTCCAGCTTGTGATCAAGGGGCTGAACAGCAGCGAGGCCACGCTGAAGGAGCACTCTGCGTTCGTCCTGGGAGCTGCCTTGTCCAGGTGAGCTCCATCCTTGGGTGCAAGAGTGAAGCCCTCGGGAGACCAGGTGGGCTCTGTGCTTCTCTTCAGTTCTCATGAGCTCCTCCCATGGCAGGAGCTGAAAGCTTCTCTCATCCTCTGAGATACCACGTTGTCTTCTCCCCTGCCTGGCCCTTGCCTTGCAGCACCTCTTACCCTGGTGGTCTTGTTGGTGTGTCCTCACCCTGCTCGTTAGATTTAGCCAGAAGTAGCTTGGCGTGGAAGCTGTAATTCTTTCTTGGTTTCCCTGGGCTCCTCATTTTTATGAAGACCTGCTCTTGGCTCCCAGGCTGCTTTAGGATAGCAAGATGCAACTCTCGTGGTCTTCAAAGGGGGGGTTTTAGCCTCCCAGACACGTGCCTCTGACACCAAAGGGATGTTGGTTAGACACAGGGTCAGGAATCACAAAGAGATTGGTGTGGGGGATGTTTCTGGTTCACTGGAAGGTGGCTGTTGCCCAAAGGAGCCCAGCTGATCTTCTGCTAGGTTGTAACGTGCAGTGCTGCCAGTGGTACCCTGTGGGCTCAGGGGGTTCTGCTGGTGGCCTTTTTGTTTTACAGATTTTGGGGCTTTGTAGTGTGTGTTGCATATTCATGAGTGCAGAGGCTTTAGGAATGCATGGGATGGACCCAAACTTCAAGGTCAGAAGTGCAGAGTGAAAACTAAAAGCCAGGACTTTCATATCTGCATATTTCTACGGCTAAAAATACGGTCACCTTCTCCAGCATTATAAATTATTTATTGCTTGGTCTAATACATACTCTACAAACCTGCATTTCTTTTGCAACTTTGTATGGTTGCTCCTCAGCATGGGCTGAGTAATCTGGTACCCAGATTTGCACCAGGAAAGGACCCAGCTTACATCTGCATTGGCTTAGTGAGGACAAGAAGATGTGCTCTTTCACATCACATTCTGGCATCTCTTAATGTCTGAACTACTCCTGTAATTGTTTCTCTAGGTTTGTGATAGCATGTAGACTCTTAATGATATGTTTCATAAAGAGAAAAACGTGTAGAGGCTCTGGAAACATTTGCAGGTGACTTGCAAGATGACAAGGGCTGTTAGATCGCTTCTTTCCTCATCTAGCTAATGTGACATGATCAAGATTCAAGAAATTCATTGTCTCATGGTATGAGCCTGTAGCAATGGCCACAAAACTAATGGGTTTATATAGTGTTCCTCAATTAATTGCTAAATGCTTTTTTTTTGGACAGGAACAGTCTCTTTGCTAATACGACAATATTAAAATACAGCTTTGGAAACTTTTAGGCCTTTTTTTTCTTTAAAGGACATTCTGACAGATGGTAATTTTGAGTGGTTTGGATGATGTATTGTCTGAGAGCTCAGTTCCAAAATGTGAGTATTGTGCCTGGGGTTTGGGTTTGCTTTTTTTTCCCCTTGCTGTGCTTAAGCTTTCTCAATAGGCACCTCCATGCCAGCTCGTCTGCTTTCTGCTATCTGCTTAATTTGTTTGCTCATACATTTTGTCAGCTTACTCCGTGCTCCATTTAAACTGCCGCGGGCGTTTCCAGTACTTCATGCTAAGCATTTTCTGATGCCTTGTGTTTTTCTGAGGGTTTGTTGTTTATTTCCTCTCTTGTAGTTGTTCCAAGGGGCATCAGTTAGGTGATATGACATGCCAGTAAATCCTCAGAGGTGCCACAGCTCCCTAGACTGGAGGGGATGATCTGATCCATACTGGTGTGCCCAAGGCTGGTGTCAGATCCTACATGGGATGCTGAGCTGTGCCTAGGGAGAGGTGATGCTCTGATGCTCACCAAATGGGTCTGTGGCCACTTCCCAGGTCTCTTCAGCCAGGTTGGCTCAGGCCAACAGTTTCCAGCCAGGCAAACCTTCCTAGAGGAAAATCAGGACATGATCATAGCAGCTCCTCAGCCCAGCCTGGGAGGTCATTAACTCCTGGCATAGCTCAATCTGGAAGAGGGAGTTTGGCATTGTCTGCAGGCAAGTTGTCCACTGCAGGAGAAAACCACCGGATGCTGAGCAGTCTCAGATGTGCTTGGGTCACATCCAGAACTTTTCAACTCTTGAAGACATCCAAGTCTTCTCCAGATTTGCTTTGTCCTTGACTCTGATCATGTAGTGAAGCAGGTAAAGGATGGAGCAACCCAGGATGGAGCTGCATCACCCAGGTCTTGCCTGCATCCAGTCTGGCTGGGACCTGGCTCAGAGGTGTTTGCCTGTGCTGAGAACCTGTGTGGGAGAAAAGGGTTTTCATCTGGATCAGCATCTTGAGCCAACAGGCCAGGTGGCTGACCAGGACATTGGATGGGCAAAGGCAGGAGGAGAAGGCATAGCAGGGAGAGCTCAGGACTTCTCCCTCCTGCTACCACTCCTCCTACATATTTGGCTTAAATTGGACTTAAAAAGCAGCCTTAGCCCAGCAGAGTTTGGTGCTCAAGGCCAAGGTCGCAGGGTGTAGCTGCGAGAGTGCTGCCTGCATGGATGCTGTCCTCTCATGACCCATCTGCCTCTGTCTGTGAGCCTCTGCCATGGGACAGGGTGACCTGAGAGGGAAGAAATCAAGATTCCATCTCTTGTTTCTCTTCCACGTCCTTCATTTTAAACATTTGGGTTTTAATCACTGAGGCTGAGACCAAATCAAACATGGTTCCATCTGGTAGAGTCGTCTGAGGGGTGCCCTTACTGCAACCCCAAAACCTCATCACAGCTTTGCTGTTTTTAAACCTTTAACAAAATGTTTTCCATTCAGCAGTTCTCAAAAGTAAACTTCATTTGAACAATGCTCAAGCGCTCTGATTGCAAATAAAAGTTAAATGCACTAACAAAAATAATTGCTAGACATGTGGGGTTGTCCATTTAGGTATCCATAATTCACTAACAGTATATGCCAATACACAACATTATCTGGGTTTTCAGTGATTGCATTAGCATAAAAGCATGTTAGCATTTATCCAGTGGTACTAACATTTAAATATATATAAGTATGAAATATTAAGATACAGCTTTTTAGGGGCAAGGAGAACTACTGTGTGTAAAACACTTGCCTGTTTTTGAAGGTACACTCCAGTATCTTCGGATGACAATCAGCATTCGCACCATTGGGTCCAAACATTGCAAAAATGTCAATGTTTTATGCAAAGAGGAGCTATATTAAGCTAAACAAGATCGCTGATGAGAGAAGTGTCTTCTGATGTCCTCTGAGCTATTTACAGGCAGCGTCTCCCTTTGTTCACAGCACAGCCAGGCCTCTGTGCAATTTGTATCTAGATGTTTCACAAGACTGGAAACATTAGCCAGAAAGGATTAGGTTTGTGATTAAAACCTCAATTTTTAGAAACTTTGCCTCCAGGAAATGTTTTTCCACACCAATAATTGGAACATTTTAATATTTTTTTGTAATAAAAGGATTTTTGTAATCCGTTTAGAAGGGGAAGAATAATTTGAATGTCGAATGCATTCTTGCAGCTTTATCCCGAACGCCTAGGGGTGAATTAGAGGTGAGGGTGGAGAGGACCTAAAGCTGTGGGACCTTCAAGGCAAAGAGAAGTGGTTTGTGTTTCCTAGGGAGAGGCAGAGAGTGCAAAAGGTGAGATTTGGGCAGGGACAAAGAGCAGAGCCCGGAGGAAAGTTGCTTGCGCAGCTGCTTGGGGAGATTTGTGGCGTTTCAGCCAGTTCTTGAAGATCCCACCTGCTGTTCAAAGAGGATTTCAAACTGATGGTCTGGGCTTGTGTTCACTGTGTGTCCAGGCAGGAGGCAGAGCAGGCCCTGGCACAGCCTCCTCCAACAAACCCGGTACTACCAGGCTCTCCCTGTTCCCTCTTTTGGCCCTGACAATTGTTGCAAGACTTGGTAAAGACTCGGGAGTGAAGCCGAGTGTGATCTCGTAGCAGCACTCAGGAGTTTCCTAGAGATGGCTCGTGTCATGCTCAGCATCCCAACGTCCAGCTGGCCTTGATTCTGCTTCTGGGAACAGAGGTGGGGCAATGCTGTCTCCCTGTCCCACCTCTATCCCTTGGTATTTCTGTGGTCTCTGTTCTCCCGTGGTGCTCAGTTTCCATGTTTGGTCAGGGAAGCTCCAGCTTCTTCAGGATGTGGAAAAGGCTCCCACCAGATTTAATGATTCTGAATTAAGTCCAACTTGGCAGTGAAACTGGTTGATGCTCACTGCTGTTAAATAACTTCAGGCCCAAGCAATAAACCCAGGAGAAGTAAAATTGGAGACCTTGCTTCGATGCTGTCTTGTAAGGACATAAGAATTTCTGGGCAGAGAAATAAATCTAGTTAGCTTAACAAGCTCTGTCCCTACCCATTTATTTCAAATCCCTCTTCACATTCGTCCCTTCCTCCTCCAGCTTCTCCTTTTACATCCTGCAATCTTTGCCCATCTCTTTATCTGTTTCCACCGTTTTTTCCACTGTTTTTTCTGGCAACACCGTGTGTTTGCCCCCTCCCAGCTGCAGTAATTCCAGCTCAATTCCCTGCCCCCTTGTAATTCCTTCCTTTGTAGATGGCCTCTTCTATTTTTACTTGAACTCCTGACTTTTGTGGAGTTATCAGCCTCGCTGCACTTAATTTCAAATTAATTTGATTGGGTCACCTCATTTTTTTTTCTCTGTAACAATAATGAACTCAACCTGTTTAGCCTTTCCCCATTATGAATAACCTTAACAAAAACTGCAGTGCGGTATAAAACTGTGTTTCATCATTATGGTTAATTACACAGAAGAATAAATCCCTAAACATTTTTCAGCATCTGAAATCTAACGAGGAAGTGTAATTAACAATCAGAAAGTAAACTGCCATCCTTGTGCTCTCGGGAGGACAGGGAGGGCAGACCCCATGAGAAAAATCTAGAATCTAAGGCTTGCTCCTGGTTTTGTTTTCAGAAGCGCTTTGGTAGTTTAGAAGCTGGGGAGATGCTGGTGTCTGGACGTGCAGGGTCGGGTGCTTATTCTGTGACAGGATAATAGGAAATGGCCTTGACAGGACAAAGGA